ATATATTTAATGCACATATATCTTATTGATAAGTATATAATATTGTAAATATAATGCATGTGATATTTACTACAAATAATGTGATATTTAATATAATTAATATAATTTTAAACTAAGTATATCAATGGTATAGGCCTATAGGGGAGCCAGCCATTTCAAACAATCGGCAGCGCGCCTATTACGGTACCTCATGGGTGGCGTGGAAAACCGTGATAATAATCGATGTATATTATTGCACTATTAATGAATACACATTTCAATGAAGATGACTAATTTAACAGTGAGCCAAAGAGGTACAAATATTGTCACCTTTGTTATATCCAACACAATTTGTAGTCTAGCGTATCTCAAGTTTATGCTGATTTATGTAATGTCGGCGACTTTATGTAGATCCACCCTCCATTGCAGCAATCGATTCAGGATCATTTCCTAAATCGACTTAACCTGGTCTCTGGCTGTTCGTTTGAACTCTGTCTATGCATTTTGTGTTCACCGTGTATATTTTAGGGGACTATGGCAGCCCGATGTGTGTGTGCCCCAAGGATAAACTTTTTTGACGATTATTCTCTATAGAAGGCCGCTTTCTTTTAAAAACCTATTGGGAAAAAAGTTGCAATTTCCTAAATTTATCGACAAAATTAAGTAGAACGAGTATTTTGGCATGTAAAATATATGCGGAAAATTGAAATTGGATGGGACTATTTTTCGGACCTCCTCCCATGTCACCATCGCTAAGAAAAATGAGATTTCATATTCATTTGTAATGAAACTTGATCGAAATTGATAATTTAACATGAAAATTAACTGCAATAAAATTTAAAAACATGGCGCTATTTTTTGAATACCCACCCCATACAAGGGTTCTCAATGAAATGTATGCGTTTGCATGAAAATAATTCGTAACTTTTAGTATATTATTATCAGAACGAGTGAACAACTGTATTAGGGGAAGTGGTGTAGGACATTTAATAGTCGGCCTTGTCCGGCTATAATTTCATACGTGTTTTAAATTATTTTTTTAATTTTTTTTTATTTTTATATATATACATATATATATATTATGTTACATATTTATTATAAAACCATTAAACTAGTTTGAAAAGCTGCCAGCAGCCTAGTTTAACAAGAATAGGCGTCAACTTAATCTAAAAAATTACATTTCCTTTACAGAGTACATTATAATATGCATATTCAGTTCAATTTCACTATACTTTGCAATACCTCATACCGTTGCCCATTGTTAATGTAACTTTGGCCATAAGTTCGTAGTAGATCACAACAAGTTAAGGCTGTGATCGTTTTATTGACTGTCAGGAAACAATCCAAGAATGTATGATTCCTGAAAAAAAAGTAAGGAAAAGGAAAGGAAACTTAAATTCTTAATCTTTTTTTTCTTGTGCAAACAAAAAAAACTCACTATTTTCACCAGGTGATAAAGTTATGTGTATATCTTCTCTACTTAGTACAGGAGCTGAAAAATAAATTTTTATAATGTTGATAGGAAAAGAATTGAAACACGAGAGTAAGAACACGAAGAATAAGAAATATTTGTTCAATTTTGTTTTTTTCAATATTAAGGGAGGATTTTTAAATTTTATTAAATTTTATTTTATAAATTTCTTTCTTTGTTTTCCTAATGCTATTAACAATTCAAGCAATCATTTACAGACAATCACAGTTCAAAGCAAACCTTCAACTGAGTTAATGTAAGCTTAGCATAATAATTATTACGATATAAAAACCAACATGAAAACATCAACTCATAAAACGATAGAAAACAAAACAAATAAAAGCAAAATTTTGTTTCGCGTTTTCATGATTAAGAAACAAAAAAAAAAGCAATTAATTAACAATTTCAAGCTGTTTTCAGAAAATGCATGCACAAGACTGTAACAGAAAATCAGAAAAACATAACATTTAATCACGTATGCAGAGCAAATTGTTGCAATTGCTGTTGAGCTAAATTAGCATCGTGCTCTAAACTGCCTGTCATGGCTGTTGGATTATTTAATGCATTCGAGGAAGCGGCCGCATTAGTTATTGGACGTGAGAAATTTGTCAGCGTACCAGGCAATATTCTAACACTTTCACAGCTTTCACATATATTTAGCAGTGCATGGTTGCGGAATGTACACATATCGCATGCCCATTGTTCTAGTTGTTCATCTTCGTCATCGTCATCATCGGCACCCCCGGTTGCTTCAGAATCAGAATAAATTTCTTCATCATGTAAGTAAGGACTATGATGAAAACATTGGTGTGTTTCTGGCAATAATATCGATTGACTACCGATTGCACTTGACATATGGTTATGGTTGTGATGTTGAGCAGATGGGCGGGATGTTGAAGTGCTACTGTGATGTTGTATAAAATCTAGACTAGTCTGATGGGATGGCGATTGTGGCCGTGTTGCGGGGGGTCTATTGAATCTTTGTCGAGGGAATGATTGAGATTGTGTTGATAGTTGTTGATGTTGTGAGAAGTAAGAATTATTATCACCCGAACCTTTAACGAAACATTTTAGGCAAATTTCAAATTTTAAGTTTTAATTTTGCATCACAAACAAACAAACTTACATCGTCGCACATTTTCAATTTCATTGAGCATTGCCTGACACTCTATTCTTAACCTTTTTACGTCGTTTTCAAGCATTTCAGAGAATCCTGGCTCAACCGGTTCAGTTAATACATTGATTTCTTCTTTCACTTGATTTAAACGTCTCTTATTCTCACGTAACACGGCCGCCAACTTATCACGTTTCTTCTTTTGCCGTTGCAAAACCTCAGCAAGGAAATCTATGAATTTATTTATTATTACATTTATGATTTATTTAGATTAAAGAAATGAATTGTAAGACTAAAAAGAATTTATAAATTTAAAAGAAAATATCTTTCTTACAATATGAGAACAACACAATTGCGGTTATAACGCATGGAATGCTCCGAAATTTGTGGGTAACTTTTGGCTCATATGAAAACATCTGTAAACCTTTTTTTTCTACCTGGACTAGTTTTCGATTAATAATAAGTGCTTCTAACAAAAGGGATCATTTTCATCCCTTTCTTTGACAAATCGCCAAAGTCGCAAAAAAGCAGATAGCTGACGCAACTCAGATGTATGTTAGCATAGCTCTGGTTCACCAAAAGGTCAAACTTTAGCCTTCAATTTTAATTTCAATTTATATTCAATTTATTTTAATAAATGTTAAAATGTTCTTCATCCGAGTACAAATAGATTAGAAAATTAATTTTAATTGATTGGATTAAATAAAAAATCAATTGGAATTGATATTTTTTCCTTGACTATGCGCGTACGTAATAGCAAACCGATCGGAATTACTTTTGCTTTCCAAAACATCTTCACAATTATCATCTAGGAGTTATAGATGAAAATATAAAAAGACTGTCGGTGTCTTCTCGAGGCTGTCTTAGCTTATAGTCTACTGTGGGCATGCGTGTAGGCTGATCACGACCGTCTTTAACCCGTTGGTTTTTAATCGATTAAGGATTGTTTGCTACACTTATTATCTTAAGGACTTTTCAAAATACAGCGGTATATGAACGGAAATGAACGAAAAAGTAAAAGAAAATAAAAAATCGCTGGACCTTGGGCCAAAACACGTTGGCCTCAATAAAAAAATAAAGGCGGACAAACGGATAGACATCTTTATGGCAATTATGAAACTGATTTTGAATTGATCGGTATAATAAAAGGTATATCTATCTCAAGTTCTTCTAGTTGTTGCATACCTTCACACGAATTCAGTATACAATTGTAACAAAAAAATTTTTCTGACTTCTCTCTGACTGTCGCGACACTTGACAACACGGATGCGAGACAAGATGCATTGATTTTGTTCAATCGACATCTATATCGATAGGAAAAAGTGTACAAAGATAACTAATTAATGTCGTCTAGAAACACTTAAATAAATAGGGAATGTGATTCGCTGCCCTGTTAGGACAAAGTAATCTACAAATTATCACGGTAAGGATCTGAACAAGTGTAGTCCGTACGTCCTTTCATAGTCCACTGTTGAAAACTTTTAATAAGAAAATCTGGAATTTCACCTACAAGACTTCTCAGGTGATGGTAACTCCACGGTTATAAGTCCCTCAAAAACATAATCTGGTCGACAAAGTGTTGTTGTCACGCCATTATTAAAATATTTTGTAACTTGTGCAAGTTTGATTTCATTTGGAAGGTTTTGTAAGAAATGCTTTTTTTTTTTAATCGCACAAATCATGTGAGCAAAGCGTATAAGACGACTAACTCACCATCTTCTGCTTGTTGTGGTGGTTGGCACATTTCTTCGCTTCTTTGGATGTCACCACGGTTTTCTTCGCTTTTTTTCTTGTTAACCGAACAATTGTGAAATTGCTGGTGCTGTTCTTGTTGTTGTTGTTGTTGCAATAAGTGTTGTTGTTGCTGTAATTGCTGCTGTTCATCAAATACATAATTGACATTAGTAACGATAGCGTTAACAATAAGTTGATCCTAAATAATATTTACCTGATTTTGAGGTGTTCGAGGACTTAATCGACTTGCCCGAAAAACGCTTCCTTCGTCCGTCACAGTGATGTGGAAATTCTTTTGACATCGACGCCTAGCATCGTAGGATGTACTAGAATAAGTGAGGCCACTACCGGTGGAACCCGACAAACCAGGACCCGCAGATATATCAATGGTGGAGGGTTGCGGTACAGTGTTACTTTCACTCTCGCCGCTTACAGTAGGCTGACGTAATGTTAGATTAACAGAAGTAAAACTTCTCGGAGTATGTATAAAACAGTCCGCACTATTACCAATGCAATCCGAGTTAATTGGTGTTTTAGTGTTGGCTGTTGTTGCGGAGGTAGTAACAAAAAAGTCACGCGAGTACGGTGGCTCTGGCTGCACATTAATGACTGAACGATGTCGTATAGGCGATTTGTTTGCGCTTAGTTGTCGCTGGTGGTGAGTTGGCGTAGTTTGTTGTGTTGGAGGCGGTGTCGGGGATGGCGTTGATAAAGATACATTTACAGAGAGTTCTGTCTCGGATAGTGGACTGTTAAGATTTAACGATACATTGCCATTGTTGTTTATAAGTGGGTGTTGATGAAATTGCTTGATATTATTACTGATGTTTGACGGTTTGGGTGCTATAGGGGGTAGAGGAGCTTTACGCAAGGGTCTTCCGTTGTTGATTGATGGCTGCAAGTTTTTATGACGTTGTTGTTGAAATTGCTGCTGTAATTGTATATTTAATAATTGACGTTGTTCCTGCTGCTGCCGTAATTGTTGCTGGTCGCTGTTTAAGTTCAAAGTTGTCGGTCTTATCCGCGGCGGCACAGGTAATTCCTCCATTGGGTTAGCACCCGTTGCGGGGCAATCCTGATTGCTAACAAAATCCAATATTTTGCTCGGCGATCCAACATTTATACTTAAGTTAGTCTGACCATCTTTTATGTCAGCTGATGCAATATTATCATTACCGTGATTATTGGTAGCTTTTAAAGCTTTCTCTTTATCTACTTTATTTTTGGTTATCTGTACATTTTTGGGGGGTTTTTTTAATGGCAGCGATGGTGGTGGCGGTGGTGGAGGAAATGATGGTTGCAGAGGAGCAGGTCTTATCGGTTTTAATGGTTTTACGGGCGGTTTTTGCAAAGTCTGCGGTTTTTGTTGCACTACAGGTCTTGACGGACTATGCGCTGACGTCGTTGTACTGTTAGCGATGGACGGATGTAAAACTTTGGCTGGATATGTTTGCGCCGGAATCGGATTTAATTCCAATTCCTGCCGTAACATTTGAATGCAATTTTCTCGTTGATGGCAATTCTCGTTCACACATTGCGCCACAACGGTATCGGGAAGTGTGGGGAACTCTTGTTTCATTTCATGAAATAAGTGCATAATGGCGATATTTCGACAATTGCAATTTGTCGCAACTTTCGATGGTTGAAGAGCACAACTTTTACTTTCACCGGCCACACTCAACGCTGGTGATTGTAAATTGTTTTCGTTGGTATCACTATTGCTATTACTATTGTTATTATTGTTATTCGGGGTGGATACAAATTTCATTAGATTTCCTGGCGGCTTTGGTGGTTTAGCCGCCATTTTTGGCCATCATTTAATAAAATCACAAACCTAAAAAAGCATATCATAAATATTGAATAAAACATTTATTTAAAAAAAAGCTCTTCATGTATTTGCGTAAAGTGTGTTGGATTGTGCGCCGTTAGTAAACTTTATATATGAAATGATAAAAGTATACCATGTTATAAATTTTGTGTGGAATATTTGCTGTCGTAATCTTTCAACAAATTGCGCTTGGCAATCTCACAAAGGCTATCCTAGAGAGTAGAGATCAAAATTCGTTCAACTATGTGTGTCGCACTTCAAAAAACTCAAAGTCACAAACACTAAGTGGGAAAATTGAAGAAGAAGCATTGAAGAAGGAAGGTTCTGTAAGCACCACGGCTACAATAAATCGTAATAAAGCTTAACTTGGAACGTATAGCGAGTGTTAGTTTATAACATAGTGCTCGTATCCAAAACGAAAAACCAAACTTCATGGCATTTTTATTACATTTCATATATAGTTGCTATAGACCAATGCGCTATACCTATGGCGAATGTTAATCTTCGTCGTTATGCTTGTATCCTCAAACACTTTCCAAACTTCATGGCATTTCCACTACATTTCATATATAGTTCCATTAGACTAATGCTTTCTACACCACAGTGCTCGCGTCCTGAATGACTTTCCAAATTTCACGGCATTTCCACTACATTTCATAGACTAATTAATGCTTCCATTGCTTTGGCGATAGTTTTTGTTGTTGATAGATGAATTAAAGATTTGATCAAAGTGAGTTCATCTTCTTGTCTTTTATGGAATCCAGTTTATGATGAAATAATTTTGCAAACTAAAATACTTATGCAGTGACTTACATGTGCTACGTGGATAAACACCATCGACTATTGAATGCTTATTTTATGTAGAAACACACCTGCATACGTTGCATTTGTTCAATAGTTATAGAGGTCTTAGAGATCTTAAAGCTTTAAATTTTACTGCTTATCCCGACTTTTTATCTTCATTTCTCACTTCATAAATACATAGCTTTTAAGAAGAAAATCCACAAAATTTATGATTAAATGGTTCACGGTCACTCACATTTATCTCATTCAGAAAAATGTTAAATCTTCCTATGACTACATTGAACAAGTAAAGCAAGTTTCAAAGCTTTGCACTTCTAATTACATTTTTTTTCCCTATCACTAACGCTAGAATGTTATTTCTTAACCTTAAACAGTAAATAAATGAGAAAACGTACATAATTAACAAATTAATTTGCTGGATTAGTGTAAGAGAGATGTGATCGCAAATCATACTCGACATAGGAGTGAAAATGGTTAAAATGAAATTTTCGTCTTTTTTGAACATCAGTTGAATGGAAATAGATAAGAAAATTATATCCACTTTTGACCGAATCCATTATACCCATCATCGTAATCCAAAAAAAAGTAAAACAACTAAATTTTTATCCTCTATAATACGGAGTGGACACGGTCGTTATTTTCTATTTGCAAAATAAAAATATCTCTCGCATATACGTGTGTGTGGGCGTTATAGGCATCTCCTTGGAAATGTTTGAATCACTTCCAAAATTTTTTGCAAATGTGTAGGTGATGTGTAAATTTTCTTTATCAAAGATACTACACAGTTGCGCAGACGATCGAGACTATATATGTATATACTTTGTGGGATCTCCGATGCTTCGTTCTGGGCGTTGCAAATATTCTGACAAAATAAGTATACCCCTCGTCTCTCGGTGATGGGTATAAAAATTGATTTCCCCTTTCCTAATATGGCAATTTACTTTCAACCACATATATATATATATATGTTCGTGCGAAAATCCGCATTAAAAAGATTTCCTGTTAAGCAAATCGTCTTGTTTTTCGAATTTAGAATAAAAAAATAAAAAAAAAAACACTAATCATTAATGTGTAAAGAATTTTCATTTGTACCCAGAAGAGAAAAAACACATATGAAAATAAATGACAACTGAATTTAAAAATATTTATGACGCGGCAATAACAACAATAATGCTTCATATCAAGAGAAGAAGATAATATTAATATAATTGAAACAAATCCCTTTATATATGTGTTTGTAATTTAGGAAATTGTAATACATTTCCTCAACGTAAAATAAAAACTAAAAATTCTACGAAAAACAGTTTTACAATTTTTGCTAAACAATTATTTATAAGCGTTACGGAGGGCGTTCAAAATTTTTCATCATTTGAAAAATTTCTTTAAAAAGCCTGATATGTCAATTGTATGTACTCTGCAGTGATGGATATAGTTATTTGTAGAGACATCCCTTGTCAAAGGTGATGAAGAAGTATATGCATTGAGCTATGTAACGACAACTGCATCATTTAAGGAGGGGTAGATTTCTCTGGACTCAACACAGTATCGCCTTGTTCTAATAAAAGAACAAAGGCAATCGAAAAGGATTCGATTTTCAAAAAAGAGGGAATAATGGTAAGGTGAAAAAATATCCTTTATCTAGAATCTTCTTCTCTTCTTCTTACTTACATCTTGTGAGCCCTCTTTATTATTGATAAAACTAACCTATTTCCACAACCTCACAATCTTCGATAACCGATAATGTTCGTGCCTGTCTTCGTATTGATCTTTGCTGCATTTCTGGTATTTTCCTTTTTTTTTTTTGCGCGACTGTTTTAGGTCGTAGAGGCCAAAATTGAGAAAAACAATATCAACATGATGTAAAGTTTTTTTCATAAGAGCAGCCTACATTGTTTTCTTTTCTTTTTAATTATATGTGGTTAGATGCTTTTTAATTTCTTTCTTTTGCCATTTCATT